CTCCAAGATTTGGACAATACACGGCAGAGTGAAAACATCTCTCTTATCGTTCAATCAAACTATTTTGGCGGTAGCATTTCCAATAATGAAGCATAATTCCACTGTTTGTGGGAAAATGGTCTTGATTGTACATATTCATCTACTTACAACCATACCAAGTTTCATGTAATATCCACCTAAATGTCTTTATTGCTCGCATTTTATACAAGCATCAGTGAGATAGGCATCAGTGCAGCAACTCAGACTAGTCAAGCCGCATATGCTATTCCGTCATTTTCTATTCTATACGCATACATTATGTATGTATGCCCATGGCTATATTGTACAGTAGTGTAATGAATGGTTTAATCAAACGAATTCTTTCTGCTTTTTCGCTGTCTGTGGTATTCTCATTAGGTCTATGGCAAGAACCCGAGGAGTTATAGCCCAGTTGCAAAAGCAGGCAAGCACAACGCACCCAGATACAAATTCATTGAGATGGATGCCTGCAAGCTATGAACGCTAACGGTCTTATGTCCCTTTCATTCTCTTATCTATACAAGTTCATCGTTTTTTAACTGCTTGCCATCCACAGGAAGCAAAAGATTCGCTCTCTGTTTTCATTAGTTTCATTAGTTTATCAGGAGCGCGCAAACAACAAATAATTAGGGATTGGAACTCCAGATCGTATAGAAGGTGCGTAGTATCACTGTGCTAAACAGTTCACACTGGGAATACCCAGGACTACCGAGACAAGTGTGCTCAGATATCACCTACAATGACAGAAACCTGGTTTTTATATACACTGTGTGCTCCTCTGATGAATAACAACTTGCAGTGAGCACAGTGAAACCTGATTTTCCTCCAGGTGTATAAGTGCCGTCGGTTCAAGTAGCAACTGTGAGAATAAAATGCGATAGCGGGGTAACTGGTAGGCAGTATCGTAAGACCTAGATGATCTACTAATCTATGTGTTAGCCGCACAAACTAGAAAAGCGTGAACGCATGTCACAATTAACTTCGCGATTATCCAGTTGAGGTTGCGTGGCATATGTAGTATGCGAGAGACAATATACATGGAAAAAATGAATAACTAACCTTCCGTCAGTTTGTTTGGAAGGAGGCCGTACAGGAGCGCGCGCTAGAGGAAGAAAAGAAGGAAAACTTAA